GGGAATGTTTGAGGCGCCTGCAGGTGATCTCGGGGGTTCCTCTTGGGGCGGAATAGTAAGAGAAGGAGGATGACGAAGAGGAGGACGAAGGTGAGCAGGAGGAGGAGCAGGAGGAGAAGGAGGAGGAGACGGAGAAGGTGGAGCCGCGAGGCCCGCCACAGGGAGTCTGAGGAGGGAGGGGGGAGGATGGAAGGGGAAGGGGGGGAGGAGGGAGAAGAGGGGTACAGGTGGCCAACATAGCACGGGTCACAGGGTGGTGGAGGGTGGGGGCGGGGTGGGTGGGGGTGGGGGTGGAGGGTGGGGGCGGTGTGGAGGGTGGTGGCAGGGTGGGGGTGGGTGGGTTCGGGGCCCGGGCACGATGTTTGGCCAGAGTAGCCGAGACAGTCATTTGATGTTGCGTTGTTGTTGTTGCTGCTGCTGTTGTTGTTGCTGCTGCTGCTGTTGTTGTTGTTGTTGTTGTTGGTGTGGTTGTTGTTGATGTTGATGTTGTTGTTGTTGTTGGTGTTGTTGTTGTTGTGGTTGTGGTTGTGGTTGTGGTTGTTGTTGTTGTTGTTGGTGGTTTTGGTGTTGGTGTTGGTGTTGTTGTTGTGGTTGTTGTTGTTGTTGGTGTTGAACATTATTAATTCTAAAGAATAATTATTGTTGGGACCCCTGGTGCACGGCCCCCCTGCGCCGCCTAGGCCGCAGCTACATTTTCATCATTTTCGTGAGGAAGCCTCAGGTAATTCGATGTGATCAAGATCCGGTTGTTTTGTTCCCCCCCGCTTTCCCTTGCAAAAAACACTATAAAATGACATTTCTTGTTCTAATATAATCAAATTTCAAGAATCCCTTGCAAAAAATAAGGTAAAGTGGACATTCGCGCGCGCAAGACGAAATCCTTCCAAAAGCTTAGTGTTCGGAGCGATTTTAACATAAAAACATCAAAAAACCAATGGTTTTTCAACAAAAAAATGTCAAAATCTCATCCCGCGCGCTCTTGCGGATTCGTAGGAAACCCAACACTTTTTAAACATTTCTGTCAAACGGGCTTTTGCGAGCAACTTTTTCGAACTTCTGCGACAACGGTTGCGCACCTGCCAGGGCCATCATCCCTGTCAAATAATACCATGCGGGACACATTCGTTTTTTCTTCGCGCGCGCACGCCGAAATCTCCAAAAACCATTGGGCTTCTTAAGAATTTTAGCACCGCGCATCATAAAATCACAAGAATTTTAGCACCGCGCATCATAAAATCACACGCATCTGTGGGTTAACAAGGCTTAACAACTTCTGTGGGTGTACGAACGTAGGCTTAACAACTTCTGTGGGTGTGTACTCCACGCCAGTGTAGTAGCCACGGTCGTCCGCAGGCCACGAAGTGAAGTGTCCGAACGTCATAGGGCGGGAAGCTGGGTGTGGGTGGTGGCGAAGAGTCGTGTGGATATTTGGTAGAGCTTGCACTGCCCCCCCACAAAGTGGGGGTATTGGCTGGCGTCGCATGAAAACCCTGGCACTGGTGAGAACACTGAGCGTTCGGGTAAAGTGATTGTTGTTGTTGTTGTTGTTGTTGTTGTTGTTGAACATTATTTCTTCTAAGAATAATTATTGTTGGGGCCCCTGGTGCACGACCCCCCCGCCGCGCCTAGGCCGCAGCCACATTTTCATCATTTTCGTGAGGAAGTCTCAGGCAAAACGGGTTGGTCCGGATCCGGTTGTGTTGTTACGATCGGTTTTCCCTTGCAAAAAATAAGCTAAAGTGGACATTTCTTGTTCTAACATAACCAAACTTCAAGAATCCCTTGCAAAAAATAAGGTAAAGTGGACATTCGCGCGCGCAAGACGAAATCCTTCCAAAACCTTAGTTTTCGTAGCGATTTTAACATAAAAACATCAAAAAAACCAATGGTTTTTCAAAACAAAATTGTCAAAATTTCATCCCGCGCGCTCTTGCGGATTCGTAGGAAACCCAACACTTTTTAATCATTTCTGTCAAACGGGCTTTTGCGAGCAACTTTTTCGAACTTCTGCAACAACGGTTGCGCACCTGCCAGGGCCATCATCCCTGTCAAATAATACCATGCGGGACACATTCGTTTTTTCTTCGCGCGCGCACGCCGTCGTCGTCGGCCGCGGGGCCCTGAATAGTAGCCACGGTCGTCCGCATGCCACGAAGTGAAGTGTCCGAACGTCATAGGGCGGGAAGCTGGGTGTGGGTGGTGGCGAAGAGTCGTTTGGAAATTTGGTAGAGCTTGAACCGGCCCCCCCACAAAGTGGGGGTATTGCCCGCCTCCTATGAAAACCCTGGCACTGGTGAGAACGGAGTGTCCCCACGTGCTAGTAATTGTTGTTGTTGTTGTTGTTGTTGTTGTTGAACATTATTAATTCTAAAGAATAATTATTGTTGGGCCCCCTGGTGCGCGCCCCCCTGCGCCGCCTAGGCCGCAGCTACATTTTCATCATTTTCGTGAGGAAGCCTCAGAAAAGAGGGTGTGTACAGGATCCGGTTGTTTTGTTGTAATCCGCTTTCCCTTGCAAAAAACAATAGAAAATGACATTTCTTGTTCTAATATAATCAAATTTCAAGAATCCCTTGCAAAAAATAAGGTAAAGTGGACATTCGCGCGCGCAAGACGAAATCCTTCCAAAACCTTAGTGTTCGGAGCGATTTTAACATAAAAACATCAAAAAACCAATGGTTTTTCAACAAAAAAATGTCAAAATCTCATCCCGCGCGCTCTTGCGGATTCGTAGGAAACCCAACACTTTTTAAACATTTCTGTCAAACGGGCTTTTGCGAGCAACTTTTTCGAACTTCTGCGACAACGGTTGCGCACCTGCCAGGGCCATCATCCCTGTCAAATAATACCATGCGGGACACATTCGTTTTTTCTTCGCGCGCGCACGCCGTCGTCGTCGGCCGCGGGGCCCTGAATAGTAGCCACGGTCGTCCGCATGCCACGAAGTGAAGTGTCCGAACGTCATAGGGCGGGAAGCTGGGTGTGGGTGGTGGCGAAGAGTCGTTTGGAAATTTGGTAGAGCTTGAACCGGCCCCCCCACAAAGTGGGGGTATTGCCCGCCTCCTATGAAAACCCTGGCACTGGTGAGAACGGAGTGTCCCCAGTCTTAAATGATTGTTGTTGTTGTTGAACATTATTCCTTCTAAAGAATTATTATTGTTGGGACCCCTGGTGCGCGACCTCTGCGCCGCGCCTAGGCCGCAGCTACATTTTCATCATTTTTTCGCGAAAGCTTCAGAAAAGTGGATGAGCTCCGGATCCGGTTTTTTGTTGACGCTCGATTTCCCTTGCAAAAAACAATAGAAAATGAAAATTCTTGTTCTTACTTGATCAAATTGCAAGAATCCCTTGCAAAAAATAAGGTAAAGTGGACATTCGTGCGCGCAAGACGAAATCCTTCCAAAACCTTAGGTTTCGTAGCGATTTTAACATAAAAACATCAAAAACCCAATGGTTTTGTAAGAAAAAATTGTCAAAATGTCCTTCCGCGCGCGCTGTCCGAATCCCACAAAACCAATGGTTTTTCAACATTTATGTTACATGAGCTCGCGCGAGCTACTTTTTCTTGTTCTAACATAATCAAATTTCAATAATCCCTTGCAAAAAATAAGGTAAAGTGGACATTCGCGCGCGCAAGACGAAATCCTTCCAGAACCTTAGGTTTCGTAACGATTTCAACATAAAAACATCAAAAACCCAATGGTTTTTCAAAAAAAAATGTCCAAATTTCATCCCGCGCGCGCTGTCCGACTCCCACAAAACCAATGGTTTTTCAACATTTATGTTACATGAGCTCGCGCGAGCTACTTTTTCTTGTTCTAACATAATCAAATTTCAATACTCCCTTGCAAAAAAAAAATAAAGTGGACATTCGCGCGCGCAAGACCAACAAAAAACACGACGATCTCAGGAACTTGCCCCAAAAATGTGACCAACTCCGCTCTCTCTGTCTCTCTCTCTGTCTGCTCTCTGTCTCTCTCTCTGTCTGTCTGTGTCATGTATTGTATGTCACAATTGCAGGATGCTGGGCACACGCGCGCCCCGAATAAGTGACCAAGTTCTGTGGGTGTGTACCCCACGCCAGTGTAGTAGCCACGGTCGTCCGCACGCCACGAAGTGAAGTGTCCCAACGTCATAGGGCGGGAAGCTGGGTTTGGGTGGTCGCGAAGAGTCGTTTGGATATTTGGTAGAGCTTGAACTGCCCCCCCACGAAGTGGGGGTATTGTCTCGCGTCGCATGAAAACCCTGGCACTGGTGAGAACACTGAGCGTTCGGGTAAAATGATTGTTGTTGTTGTTGTTGTTGTTGTTGTTTGGGAGAATGTCGAGTTTCCTCGAGAGAACTGGGCTCTCAAGGTTGTTCGAGATGTTGAACGGAAACCTTGAAAATAGCACATTACTGAAACGAGCTGTGCTCTCAACTTTTGCACGACTAGACATCTATAGACAAGACCCGCGCCTTCCAAGAGGCAGGGATGCTTCTAAGAAGCCCTCCCCCCTCCCCTCCCTCACCCCCCCCCCCCGCGCGTGGCTGAGACAGCCCCGAGCCTAAAAGCATCGGCATCTCGTCGGAGGGCGGCTTTTGCTTCCGCCGCCCTCCGCTGGCGGAGAGCCGCCAACGTTCTGCCTCTGCCAGTCTTCTGCTGGCTTCCGCCGAGGAAGAGCTGGCCACGACGTCGTGATTATGTGTCTGGACCCGTTCCCGGCGACCCGTCTGTCATCCCGAGTCGTTTCTTGATTTTCCCGAAGCCTGGCGAGGCCCCCCAGAGGCCGAAGATAGCCCCAAACCCTCCGTCGTGACTTCTGTTCACGACGCGAGGAGTGCCGGCTCCCAGGACCTCTCCCGAGGTGCGTCCTGACCAGAATCTCGAGGCGAATCTGGCCTTGGCGACGAGAGCCTGCCAGGAGGCCCAAAACGGCGAGAACGAGGCCAGGGTGGCGGCATCAGGATCCCTCCCTCCCCTCAGTGCTCGCGCCGACCCTTCCTTCTTCTCTCCGCTCCTCCGCCACCAGGTACCACACGCTCGCGCTGCCGTCCCTGCCGCCAGTGACCAGCTTCCTCCCGTCGGGCGCCCACGCCGCCGTCCAGGCGGCGGCAGGCCGCCCCTCCTCGCCCCCCGGCCGGACGAAGTTGACGCCCTCGCTCGCGGGGGTGACGACCAGCTGGCGCTGCAGCTCTCGCAGGGTGCCGTCGGCCGCCCCGGCGGACGTGACCCTGCTGCCTTGGCGCGGCGGGGAGCGGGCCCGGAGGGAAACGCGTCCTGGACCGCGAGGCCGTGCCCCAAAAGAAGAGGTCTCCATCCCGAGCCGTCGTTCTGCCAACCCCGGGGCCCGTGGAGGGCCCCGTGAGCCGGAAAACGGCGAAAACACTCGGGACCCGTTTCCCTCCGACCCGTTTCCCCCATGGCGGCTGCCGAAGTCGGCCGCCGCGACGCCGGCGGGGCTCACGGCCGAGGCGACGCGGTGGCCGAAGGCCGCCGTGCCCCGAGCGGCCTCCGTGGCCAGCCGGATGCGGAAGGCCGCGTGCGCCGCATCCGAGGCGAAGATCTTCCGGGCGGGGCGGCTGCCGCGCGCGTCCTTCCAGACGGCGGCGACGGGCAGGTGGAAGTTGGACTGCGAGCTGCAGGGTGCGCTCCAGTTGTCCCCGCCTCCAGCCTGCAGCGCAGAGCTGAGATTCTCGCTGGAGCCAAGTGCCTCCCAGCCGTCCGTGGAGCTGCTGACACCGTTGCTGCAGGAGATCGCGAATGCACCAGTGCTGCACGAACGAGGCTCGTGGTTGTAGGCCGTGATCACCAAGTAGGCCCCGGGCAGGGAGCTGACGGTCAGCTCCTTGGCGACGGTCCAGTCGGAGAGGTCCCCGACGACGAGGCCCGTGACGTCGCGGCCGCCGTAGTACACCGAGCTCACCCTGTCGTTGGCCGTGAAGAAGCACTGGATCTCCTGCAGAGTGGCAGCCACCTGCCACTGCCCGTCGCCAGACCCCTCCGGCTCCCAGACGTGCGTCACGCCTCGGTGCTTCCAAGCTGGGGTCCTGCGGGATGGGGTCCTGAGGAAAGGAAGGGGTCCAAGGGTGGATTTACGTTGTTTGAGGCACCTCGTCCTCAGGACCCCATCCCTCGGGACCCCATCTTTGAACCACCGAACGCCGTCGGCCGAGCCCGTCAGCAGGCGCCCGCCGTCCGGCGCCCAGGCGACGGACCAGATCGCGTCGGAGTGGGCCTTCAGCACCGCGATCAGCTCCCACGCGGTCCCGTCTCGCCCGATGCCGTCGGCCACGCCCCCCGCGTGCCAGACCCGAGCGAGGCCGTCGAGGCTGCCCGTGAGCACCCTCTCCCCGTCCGGCGACAGGGCCACGCCAAGGACGAGGTGCGAGTGGCGGAACCTGTCCTGCAGCCTGGCCTGGGCGGTCCACCGCGCCGGTGCTCGGGCGCCGTCGGCGGCCCAAATGCGCCCAGTGCGGTCGTAGGAGCTCCGCTGCTCTGTCGTCCCGTGCGCTCGGTAGCCGGAGGCGCAGGACGAGAAGGACGGCCTGGCCGCGGACGCGCTGGCACCGCTCATGCAGCCCGTGCGGTCGCTACTGCCTGCGACGGCCCTCGTGGAGTTCGTGCCCAGCCACTCTACCGCCCAGACCACGTCCCCAGACCCAGCCGCCACGTCCAGGTGCGACGTGGTGGGCCAGGTCGAGCGATGACTGGAGGCGCCCGAGGTGTTCTCTGGCTGCCGCCACATCCTGACGGTGCCGTCGCTGGCGCCGCTGAGCGCTGCGGCTCCGTCAGGAGACCAAGCCAAGGCACGCACGGCCCCACTGTGGCCGACGAGCGCAGCCGCGAGCTCCCACCTAGAGCTGCCGATCCTCGCCATCCTCCATACGGAGGCGGACCCGTCGCTGCTCCCTGTGAGTGCCCCGTAGCCGTCCCAGGACCACGCGACCGCGCACACAGCACCCCCGCCCCGCTGCAGCGTGGCCTCCACCTCCCACTCGTCCGACGGGGTCGACGCGTCGACGCTCCACCTGCATGCGGACTGGTCCCCGCTGGTGCGGAGGGCGCAGGCCCGCCCGAGGGACCACGCCGACGCCTCCTGCACTGCCTCGATCCCCGCCGGCGCCGAGTAGCTGCACAGCAACCCGCTCGCCGATGCGCCCGCCAGCGCCCAGGGCGCCGCGCAGAGGCCGCGCCGCGGGAGGCGGCCATGTAATGCCATGGCGCTGGAACCGCGGGCGCGGAGGGAGCTTGAGCAGCCTAAGTAGGCACATTCCTCCTGAACAGCGATGGGTCTGAATTGTTTCGGAATAGCCCACTTCTATGGCACTGGATGCGAAACGTCTGCCGCCAGCATGCCGTGCCGTGCCGTGCCTGCGTGCCGTGCTGTGTCGCGCCTAGGTCCGTGCCGTGCACGCGTGCAAATCCGCTCCTGGTGCCACGCCAGGCCGTGCCGCACCCGCGTGCGTGCCCCCCAAATCCAGCAATGCGGAAAACGTGCTGTACCGTGCCGCGCCTAGGTTCTAAAATGCGACACATGTGCCGCCCCGCGCCGCGCCCGCGCGCCGTGCCTAGGTTCTGGAATGCGAAACGCGTGCCGTGCCGTGCCAGTGCGCCCAGGTTTGGGTGCGAAAGAATGTGCCGTGCCGTGCCGTGCCCGCGTGGCGTGCCGCGCCGTGCCTGAGTTCTGACGAATGGGCCGTGCCATGCCGTGCCCGCGCGCCGTGCCGTGCCGTGCTCAGTGACGCACGGCGCTGGCTGCCAGCACCAGGCACGCCACGTTCGATGTCGACTCTTCGGCTGTGCCTTCAAACCGCGCTGCTGCTCAGGGTCTGCGTGCACGGTGTGGCCGAGCAGCCGGACGGCTGAGCCGGGGCTGCGGCCGGTGCTGGGCCGTGGGCACCTCGTTGGCGCGCCGTGCGCTGGGTGGGTGGGCCAAGCTTTCGGCCGGTACCCGCCAAGGGGCGCCTCGTCGGCGCTTCTTTCTCAGCCTCCTCCTCCTCCTCCTCCTCCTCAACCCCTGTCCCTCCCAGATAACTCCTCCCTGTTGCACCCCCCCCGCGTGTCGGCAGGTCAGGCAGGGCGTAGTGCTTTCGGCTTCCTCACCACTAGTTGCTCTGAAGCGTGAAATTTGCAACAGGTTGAGAGATGGAGGGCTGGTGGTTTTCAAAATGTGGCTTTCGCCTCATCGCCGCACACGTTCGTTTTAAAAGTTCGCAACGGCTTCTCTGATGCAGGTGGGTGGGGGGGCGTTTTCAAAATGTTGCTCTTGTCTTTAGAGCCGCGCGCGTTCATCTTCAACGTTTGTAGCCATTGCAAGGATTAAGCGCTGGTCCTTTCCAAAATGTGGCTCTCGCCTTGGCGCCGGGCACATTTGTCATGAACACCCCAGCGAAGCACCCCAACAGCAGCAAGCGTGGAGAGGCTGGTCGAGGAGCGGGAGGTCGGCGAGTGAAAACGTGCATCCCGAAGTACTCGGAAGGACTCTCGGGAAAGATGCAGCCAGGTCAACGGTGAGAGCACGACCGTGTGCACCTCCTGTAAGGGATCGCGGCCGTCCAGAAAACTCCCCCCCCATTGAGGCGAGAGCACGCGACTCGCAACTCCTGTGCAAATCGTGAGGAAGTCTAAAGCGAATCGGCTGCCAGACCAAACGTCCTCAGGCTCCCCGTCCCCCATGTGGGACTTCTGTCGTCCAGTTTCACCTCTGCGGGAACCATCTATCGAAACGCTATGTGGGACAAATTTCGAAAGACTCAAGGATGGAGGGGGGTCGTTTTCAAAATGTGGCTCTCGCCTGAGTGCCGCGCACAGTCGTCTTTTTGTGTTTGCAGCAGCACGGATGAAGGGGGGGGTCAAAACTACCCCAGCAAAGCACCCAGATATAAGCAGAGGACCTGAAGAACACATCTGGCCTGTGTGACGTGCGAGACCTGTGGGATCCCTGTGACGTGTGCGACCTGTGGGACCTGGGGCATGCGGGACGTGTGGGGCCAGGGGGACTTGTCGGGCCAGGGGGAACTGTGGGACTTGAGCGACCTGTGGGACCTGCTTGGCCTGTGGGACCTGCGGGGACTGTGCGACCTGTGAGTGTCCGACCTCTTGAACCTATGTGACGCGTGGAACCAGTGGGGCCTGTGAGGCCTGTGGGACCTGTGGAACCTGTAGAACTTGTGGGTCTTCTGACCTGTGGGACCTGTGGGACCTGTGCGGCCTGTGGGACCTGCGGGACCTGGTGGGCTGGTGGGACCTGTGGAACCTGTGGGACTTGGGGCCTCTGGGACCTGTGGGGCATCTCGGGCCCGCTGGAACCGTGGGACTTCTGCGGCCTGTACGACCTGCAGAACCTGTGGCGGCCGTGCGACACATGGGGCCCGTGGGATATGTTGGGCCTGCGGGCACTGCGGGACCTTTGGGACACGTGGGACCTGTGAGGCAAACCTGTGGGATCATTGGGACCTGTGGGACCTGTGGGAGCTGTGGGGCTGATAGGAAATGTGGGATTCGTGCGACCCGTGGGATCTCTGTGGCCTGTGGGACCTGTGAGACCTGTTGGACCTGGGGCACCTGTGGAGCGAGCCTGTTTAGCCTGAGGGGCCTGCGAGGCCTGTGGGACATGCAAGACCTGGGAGGCGTCTGTGGCCCGTGGGACCTGTGACACCTGCGTCACCTGTGATACCCGTGGGACCTGTGGGACCTGCAAGGCCTGTGGGAGCTGTGAGAGCTATCGGACCCGTGGAACCCGTGGTACCTGTAGGACATGGAGGGACCTGCGCGGCGTCTACGACGCGGGACATGTGGGACCTGTGGGATGTGTGGCACCTGTGAGGCCTGTTGGGCCTGTGCGACCTGGGAGACCTGTGGGACCTGCTGGACGTGTGGGACCGTGGGGCCTGTGGGGCCTGTGGGACCTGTGGGACCTGCGAGGCCCGTGAGAACACTGGGACCTTTGCGACCTGCGGAACCTTTGGAAACTGTGGGGCCTGTGGGACCTGTAGGACCTGTCGGACCGGTGCGGCCAATGCGACGTGCGGGACCGTGGCCGTCCGGACAATAAATGCACTTTACCAGCATTGAGGCGAGAGTGTGTCTCTGGAACGATTGGTTTCGAATTCGCGGCTGCGAGACCAGGCGGTCTCGGACTCCCCTGTAGCAGCTGGCATTGACATTGAGGCGAGCGCAAGATTCCTGAACAAATTGTGGCGAAGTCTCAAGCGAAAGCGCTGCCAGACTGAGCGGTCTCGAGTTCCCCGTTCCACGTGTGCACCGTATTGTTTTTTTCATGCGGGAGCGTGGCCGTCTGGACCAACAGTGTAGCCGGCAGTGAGTCGAGAGCACGGCTCCTGAATGCATTGCAAGGGAGTCTCATGCAGAACCGCCACCAAGCCGTGCTCGATCGGGCGTCCTCAGGCTCCCTCCCACCCTCGTGGCACCTTCTCTGGTCTTTGTTCACCTCTAAATAAAGCCCTCTTGCGAAACGCTATTAGGGAGCGTTGCTCCCGCCGTAGCGCTGCGCACATTCGTCTTGAAATCTCGCAGCAGCTTTGCGAATGGAGGGGGTCGTTTTCAAAATGTGGCTCTCGCCTGAGCGCCATGCACAGTCGTCTTAAACAATTGCAGCTCTTCCACGGATGGAGGAGGGTCGTTTGCAACATGTGGCTATCTCCTGAGCGCCACGCACATCTGGTTTGACCGTTTGCAGCAGCTTCACTTATGGAAGTGGGGTCGTGTTGAACATGTGGCTCTCTCCTCAGCGCCAAGCGCAATCTCCTTTGAAAGTTTGCACTCGCTCTTTCGGCTGCAGGGTGGCACCTTTCCATCATGGGGCTCTCGCTTCAGCGCCACGCGCACTCGTACATGCACCGTTGGCCAGGATGGATGATTGAGGACTGTTTTTTTTCAAAACTAGGCTCTCGCCTGGGACTTCGTTAAGTTTACGGTCGAGAGCTTTTAATCAGAGCGTCGCGCCGCCGGTTCTGGCCCACAACGCTTCGGACGTACACGCTAACCACGTACCAATCTCAAAGCACCAATGCCCCGAGCCTTTCGAAGCCTCCCGCCCCGCGGAACGGAGCGACGCGCTATCCGCTCGCAAGGCATAGCGTGTCGCCTGGGCCGCCGTCGCGACACGCTGAGCAAAAGTTCCCGACCGTAAGGACCCGAAACTTCAACGCACGTAGCCCTGCAAGGCCCCATGATGACTCTGTTTCAACTTGAGCTGTCGCTTGAGACTCTCTCGCAGTTCATGACCACAGTGGTAAACTCTTGCAAGAATTACACGGATGGTTCCGGACTATGCCCCAGAAAGATGCAAGGTCGTTCCGATTCGAAATGTGGCCCTCGCCAAAATGGCAGACCCAACTGTGCTGGTCTTTCAAGGGGGGAGCTTCTTGTCGTGAAAAGGAAGACTTGTAGGGGCGTATGAGGAGGGGACTTGGGACGGAAGGGTGTACTGCAGCATCACTGGTGTATATTTGGTTTACTCTGGTCCTCCCCCTCCTACGCCTACTCCTCCTCCCCCTCCTCCTCCTCCTCCTCCTCCTCCTCCTCCCCGCTGGCGTCTCCTCCCCCACGTAATCCTCTCGCCTCTGAGCCAACTAACGTTGAGAGCGGTGAGGGTGGGAGTGTGGGGGGGAGTGGCAAGCAAAAAGGAAGGGGAGAGGAAAAATGGGAGATGGAGCCTTGCTCCTCATCCTCCTCATCCCGCGTCTCATCAACACCACCACCACCATCAAAATCGTCATCACCATCAAGATTACCATCATCATCACCATCATCATCAGCAACATCATCATCACCATCACCATCACTATCATCAGCATCATCATCATCATCACCATCATCATCATCATCACCATCATCCTAATCATCATCTCTATCATTAATCATTATCGTCGTCATCATCTTCATCACCATCGTCATCATCATCATCATCAGCATCATCATCATCACCATCGTCATCATCATCATCACTACTACTACCACACTCATCATCAACATCACTAGCATGAGGATGATGATGATCATCATCATCATCATCGTCATCATCAGCATCATCACCAGCGTCATCATAAACAACATAACCATCATCATGCTTACCCTCATCATCATCATATTCAGTATCGCCATCCTCCTCCTACTCATAATCATGAGCATCATCACCATCAGCATCATCAACACCAGCATCAGCATCATCATTATCACCATCCTCATCATCATCCT